AGGGAACCTGGCATTTCTCTAAAACATACAACCTTGAAATGAGGCAGTGAGGGAGAAAACTTCAATTCATAATTTCCTTTATGCCACTGCAAAAGGGAAGATTAATATCGTACACAAGGTAGAAAGTGACAGCCTGGTTCCATTGTCCACTGTCAGACTATTTTCACATTTCGTACCATGAACCGTGGTATTCCAGGGAAACCTCCAGAGATGGGGATCTCATGACTTCAAATAGACTTCTATTATTGTATATCTCTGATTTCTTCCTTAAAATGGACCAAACTTCTTCCTCCTGTATGTTTTTCACATTGGTCCTATGTCAGGCCTCTAGAGCAGGAGCTGCAACCCAAATTATTTTAGGTTTAGGCTTGGCATAAAGAAATATTAATTTCAGTTCTTTTAAAAAAATTATTCTTTAAAAATTTTATTATAAATGTGAAGTACAAGTGAGGATTAGCTGCCTAAGTAGACTGCATACCGGTGAAATTTGCAGGTGAAGTTTAGACTCCTAATTGGCCCTCATTCCCCTCGTAATGAACCAAGTATGCTTTGTGTTGTCATGTGCCTCCCACCCTCGTTCCTCCCTCCCTCCCTCCACTAGCAGTGCTCAGTGATTACCAATCAACTAATATTCAAGGCCCGTTTATGAGTGAGAACATGGGATATTCAGATCTTTGTTTTTGTGGCAGTTCATTTAGTATGATGGTCTCTAACTCCATCCAATTGCTGTGAAGTCCATGATTTTTTTCTCCTTTATGGCCACATAATACTCCATCATATATACGTACCACATTTTTTTATCCAGTCCACTATTGATGGGCAGTAGGGTTGGTTTCATGTGTTTGCTATTCTGAATAGTGCGGCAGTAGTATACAGGTGTTTTTTAGTAGAACGATTTATGTTTCTCTGGGTATATTCTCAGGAGAGGGATTGCTGGATAACATGGAAGGTCAATTTTTAGAATTTTTAGGAGTTGCCACCCTGCTTTCCATAGAGGTTGAACTAGCTTGCACTCCCACCAACAATGTAGAAGTGTTCTCTTTTCTCCACACCTGTGCTAGCATCTGTTATTTTTTGACTTATCAATGATAGCCACCCTTACCAGAGTTAGGTAGTATCGCATTATAGTTTTGATTTGTATTTCTCTGATGATTACTGAGACTGAGCAGTTTTTCATGTTGGTTGGCTACTTGCATGTCATCTTTTGAGAAGTGTCTGTTCATGTCCATTGTCCACTTTTTATTGGGGTTGTTTTTCTTTTCACTTTGTTTGAGTTCCCTGTAGATCCTGTATGTTAGGTCTTTGTCAGATGCATAATTTGCAAATATTTTTTTTCCCATTCTGTGGGTTGTCTCTTTACTCTCTTAATGGTTTCTTTGCTGTGCAAATGCTTTTCAGTTTGATGAGGTCCCACTTGTCTATCTTAGCTTTTATGTCATTGACTTTGGGGAAGTTCGTCAAGAATTAGTTGCCTACTCCAATGTGCATAAGGGTGTTTCCTGTGTTTCTTCTGGAATTCTTATAGTTTGAGGTTTTACATTTAGGTCTTTGATCCATTTAGAGTTGATTTTTGTGTATGGTGATAGGTAGGGTTCCAGTTTCATTCTTCTGCTTGTGGTCAGCCAGTTTTCCAAGCACCATTTGTTAAATGTGGTCTCCTTTCCCCAGTAATTGTTATTGGTGGCTTTGTTGAAGATGAATTGGTTGAAAGTCCAATATTTTACTTCCAGAATCTCTGTCCTGTTCCATTGGTCTGTATGCCTGTTCTTGACCATACCAGGTTGTTTTGGTTACTGTAGCCTTGTAATAAAGTTAAAGTCTGGAAGTGTGATACCACCTGCTTTATTCCTTTTTCTGGGGATTGTTTTGGCCATTTGTGCTCTATTCTGTTTCCATATGAATTTCTGTATTGTCGTTTGCAGTTCTGAAAAAAATGATTTTGGTAATTTGTTGGGTATTGGGTTGAATCTGTGCATTGCCCTGGGTAGGATGGACATCTTGGCAGTATTGTTTTTTCCAATCCATAAGTATAGAATGTTTTTCCATTTGTTTGCATCATCCTTGATTTCTTTGAGCAATGTTTTGTAGTTCTCATTGTAAAGGTCTTTAACTTCTATGGTTAGGTGGATGCCAAGGTATTTCTTTTTTTTAATTTGTGGCTATTGTTAATGGGATTGTGCTTTTTATTTGTGTGACATCAGAACAGCTACTCTGGCTTTCTTCTTTTTTTCATTTGTCTGAAAGACCATTTTCTAGCCCCCAACTTTAAAACTGTAAGTGTCCTTTGCAGTGAGATAAGTCATGGAACTCTTAGGGTTTGCTTTGTTTCCTTTTTACTTTTGTGTTTATATATGTGAATATTTTCATTCTTATGAGTGCTCTGTATGCTCTGTTGACTTTGTCTTGCCTGTACTTTTGTGATGGGTATGATTGTTCTTTTATTTTCTGTGTTCAACACCTTTATCATCTAAAAGGGCTTATTTGGAGGCAGCATATTCTCTTAGGCTTTGGATGTCTAGGGAGGGTTTTAATTCTCTGCCACTGATGAAACTTAGCTTGGAGAGGTAGGAAATTCTTGGCTGGAATTCCTTATCTTTAAGAACATTAAAGATTGGACTCCATTCTCTTCTGACTTGCAGTGTTTTGTAGGTAAGTTGGGAGCTATTCTGATGGGTCTTCTCTGGTAGGTAGTCTGACTTTTCTCTCTTGCTGCCTTTAGAATTCTGTCTTTCATGCTTATTTTGTGGAGGCAGATACTGTGCATCTTGGGGTTGGTCTTCTCATGTGATACTTTGCAGGGATTCTCTAAATCTCTTTTGCTTGACTGGTTGCCTCTGTAGTGAGATGTGGGAAATTTTCTTGGATGACCTCATGTAATGTTTGTTCCTTGGTGTTCTCTGCTTTCCTTTCTGCTTCAGGGATTCCAATCAGGTATAGATTTGGCTTCCTGACGTAGTTCCACATTTCTTGGTGGCTTTGTTCCTTTTTGAGTTTTTTTTTTCCTTCTATGTTTTTGGCAGACTGGGTTAATTCCATATTATGGTCTTCAAGCTCTGAGATTCTTTTTTCTGCTTGGTCGATCCTCCTCCCTATGCTTGTTACTTTGTTTATGATTCCCAGTATGTATTTCTTCATTTCTGTTATTTAAAATGAGCTTTTCTATCATTGGCCAACTTCATTTTTACTTCTCATATGACTTTGGTGAGTTTTGATTCTAGTTCTCTTGGTTCTCTCTGTTCATTTTAGCCATCCAATCTCTGATTTCTGTGACTGTCACCTGGGGTAGGTCATTGGGGGAAATTTCCATTGTTTGTGCTACCATAGCTGCTTTTTTGGGGGTTCTGTCTCTTTAGTACTCTGAAGGTTGCCTATGTTTTGTTGTTGCTTTTTCCTCATTTGTGAGAGGCCTGTCTTCCCTCTTTCTAATTCCTTTTGGTGTTATTATTCTGAAGCTAGTCACTGACCCTCTGTTCTAGGGACTTTTCTGTGGTTCAATATGTGTCACTTAATGAGAGAGGGAGGGGCATTCACCTCTGCTCCTTGCTTGACCCTGTGACAAGTTTCTCAACTGTGCAGCCCCTGTTCTCAACTGTGCAGCACCTCTATGAGGTGAGTGGGTAAGGGCATAGTCCTCTTGTTTGCTGTCTGCAGTTTGTAGCCCAGAAGATCTTCCAGCCAAGGATGCTTTCTGGTCTTTCATGTCACTGCCTCCCTGTTCAAGACCACGCTCTGCTCTTGGAAAGGAGTGATTTCTATGCCATGGGATAGGAGAGTGGATCCTTCCTATAGGCAAACAGAGCTTCCTGATCTGACTGTGAAGGGTCAGACACCAGAGAGGTTCATGCTGCATGCAGGCTTTCCCTGTCTGAGAGCTGGTCCTCTTGCTCCACTTATGCAAGTTGTGCTCGTGGCTGCTGACCCAGTGCTGGTTTTTTTCCCCCATTCTGCTTGGGGTCTGGTTGTCCACCTCTGTTCTGACCAGGACTCCTCCACATGGGACCAATGACTTGCACATGGCTTCTTGGGGTCCATTCTTTTTCAAGATCAGAGAATGGATCAGCTATGATCACCCACTCTAAATCGGGCAGACTTCAATTCTTATGCAAGCCTGGTACACGGTGAGGGATGAGACACCAGCATTCCCATGTCTGCCATTGTTTCTGGTCTCTATGTGTTCAAAGAGACCTGTGCTGAGTGCAGGGTGTTCACCTGTCCAAAAGTGATCAAGGTATCTCCATCTATTGGCGATTGGGTCCTTACTCTCTGCCCTGCTCAGTGAGAGACCAGTCTGCTGCTTCATGGAGGCCATCTTGGATCCTAATTACAGTTTTGTTTCTTTTTAACACTTGTCTGTTGGTCACAGTTGATCCATTCTCTGGTTTGCATTAGGTTACTACTAATTTGCTGTCTTTCCTCTTCCCTATAACAGCTCATCACTTATTGGATTGCAGTATCATGCTTTTCAGGCCAGTCTTCTTCCTGCCTGCCTCCTCCCTCGCCCAGAACATCACATGTTCTTAGACAGACCGTTTACCCCTTACGAAACTCAATTTTCTCATCTATGATTTAGGGGTAATATTAACTTGTTGACTTGATTTTGAGATTAAATTAATGTAAGTAAGATTCTAGGTATTCAACGAGAGGTAACTATTTTTGTTATCGTAGTTATTTCTAAGGGTACATATTTTAAGTATATTGCATGTATACAATTTTATCTGAATCTATTATCATATTTCATATAGAACTAAATTTCTTCTCTTTTTCTTCAACTTTCAAATGAAGAAATAATTAACTTGTTGAAATGATTTGCATTTATGCAGACTTTTGAAACTTTGCTTCTAGTGGTTCTCATCTTTTTCTTAAATGCTTTCCTGTTTGATTTATAAGATCAAAGCTATATTCTTTGAAAAGTGTTGATTAACTCTGAGAATTATATTTTCAGGCTTATTGTATTGTCACTTGCAATGCTATTATAAAGGCAATCTTATTTCTATTTCCAGCATTGCAGGGGGTCGAATACTGTCAGTGATAAAGATGCAGTTGATTAAAGACCAAAACAGCAGGGATCCTTTTTATAAAGCAGTGGAGGAAGTTGTTCAACATTTGGATGTGAGGATTAAAAATATTATCAATTCTCAACAAGGAGATGTAGCTGTTAGCACCACTGACATCAGTCCTGCACGGGTAATGAGCTTTTTATTTTTCATTATCCTTCTGTACAAATCATTATCTCTTCTATTTATTGTAGAAATAGTTTACTATTGCTACTTAAGTCAGAAGAATGTGTTTCCTGTGTTCTACAATGATTTTAAAAATGTGAGTTTCACAATAGGATTTTGTTCACCATGGATAAATCATAACATCTTTGGGCCAAACTGTACTTGTTAAAGTAAGGCATTGAATAATCTAGTATTCCTTTTAACATTAAAAATTTGTAGTTTTTAGTGACTATTAAGGTGTTTTGTGGTATTTTTTAATGATTATTTTACAAAACAATTATTTCCACATTTACTCAGATATAAAATAGGAACCTGGTTTCTCTGGTTTTGACCCCAAAAGTAAGCATTCTATAGGACCAGCAGTCTTGTTACAGGTGATTTCCATTCAGCAGATTGCTTTTCTTTATAGATCTCTGTCGTCTCTTCTTCCTCTATTTCCAGCCTACTGCAGCTGAATTTTCCCCACACCTGGCAATTTTTTAACTGTATATTCTCAGAATACGTACTTCTTTCTGGATGTTTTTGCACTTACAATAGATTGTAGTCTACACTATTATAGGGGAAATTGAGTACTATGTTTTTCAAACAGAATTTTGAAGTAGTATAGTTCATTTATTGCAGTTTACTCAATTAACAAAAAAGCTGCATTTCATTAGGTGTGATTATGGTAGCTGGTATATGAAGAAAGACTTGTACTTAATTTTTGTTATTCATTTAATCATTTATCCATTCAGCCCTCTGGGATTATTTTTAGCTACATTTCTGTAACAATACTTATTTTTAGATTTACTTTGAAGGTGGAACATGGGGTGGGGAGGATTCTGGAATGTTGCTTCATGTGTTTCATGAGTATTAACGTTTTCTTTTTTTGAGTTGGAGTCTCACTCTGTCACCCAGACTGGAGTGCAGTGGCACACCACAGCCTCGACCAGTGGCACATTGGAGTGCAGTGGCAAACCACAGCCTCGACCTGCTGTGCTCCAGAGATCCTTCCGCCTCAGCCTTCCAAGTAGCTGAAACTACAGGCACGCGCTACCACGCCCGGCTAATTTTTTGATTTATTGTAGAGATGAGGTCTCGCCAAGTTGCCCAGGCAGATCACGAATCCTCGGGCTCAGGCAATTCACTCATCTCGGCCTCCCAAAGCGCTGGGATGACAGGCTGAGCCACCGAGCCTGGCAACATTTTCTGATGACTAGCTTGGGTCAAATGACAGCCAGGCTACTACTATAAAGTATAAATTAGGAACTGAATATACATATATATATGTTCAGATAATTAAAAGTATCAGTATAGTCAAATAATTAAAAGTATCAATCTCTTCCATTTCCTGGCAGAAAAAATAAAGACACAAACAACAAAGTTCTTAATTTTATTTTTTCTACCAAACCAGAAATCTAAAAAATATAATCAAGTAATACTCCATCAAGTTAGTATTAAGCAATATAGAATTCACTGGTACTGAAGAACAGTACATGTTAATCACCAGATTGTGATAAGCAATTTGCTAGAATTTCAGTGGAGCTATATATTATAGTTCATCTGGTTCTCTGCTAAGTAGAGAAAGGAGGCCAAGGCCATGTTGATGAAAAGTGAGGAAACTGGCACAGCTATAGCAGATGTCCTAGAAAAGGCGCTTTGATATCTAAGCATAACGTCCAGCAACCCTGTGGGGTAGGCATTATTATTGCCCCTATTTTGCCAGTGAGTTTAATTTAAGCACAGAGAGGTTAAACGTCTTCTCTAGAGTTATACAGTATACACAACTAGTAACTTGGTATCAGATCCAGCCAGAAATACTTTCAGAGTTTGTGCTTACATGTATCTGTATATAATATCTTATTACTCTATATTTCCTTGTATTCCTCTTTCTAGTCACTGAGTTATTCCAGACCTCCCTTTTTCATCTCCCTTTTAAATTCTCTCCTGCTACTCTCTTAATTCAGACCCCTTTGCTTCTGAACTGGTCCATTATAGTCATTCATTTGTGTCTTGTCTCCAGATTTTAAAACATTCTTACCCTGTAATATATTTTGTACATTTTTGTCACTGATTTTTCAAAATCTAAGAAGAGATTTTACTTCTGTAACTGACTTATTTATAACCTCTTTACATGATATACAGAGTTTCCCAGGCTCGTCTGACATAATTTTCTTCCTTCTTATTCCTCAGCTATGTCATCCTGCCTGGTCCCCGAAAATGCCATGCTCTCTCTTACTGCTGTGTGTCTCCCCCTCTGTGAAGCCCTCTTTGACTCCTGGGTATATTGATCACTCTCTTGTGTGCTCCTACTGCACCATGTATACACTTAGTAGAAACAGCATGTAGCATTTTGTAATGCAATTACTGGTAAATTACCTTGATTTATCTTATTAAGAAAACTGTGAGTTCTTTGAAGGCATAGGTTTTCACCTTCATAGCTTGAGCTTCAAATATCATGCTTGGGGCATAATATATACTTACCCATGATTACTGAATGGATGAATAGGGGTGTTTTTGCTTTTGGTTTGATCTTTACAACCCTCTATTGGGCTGGTATTTGGATTACAAGAACCCTATCTCTCTTTGGCATAAGAGAGAAAAAATACATGGAGAGGCTAAGTTATGGGGCTGAGATCACATAGCTAGATAGAGGCTAAGAAGCCTAATCTTATCTTGACTAGCCAGAACCTAATGTCTTCTTTTGCCATTATTTTTGTGTATCTGGAAATTGATAAGATTGATTATAGTATGGCTTGAATATAATATAGCTCCTTCTCATAGCTGATTTTTTGGCTACTTCAGCAAGAGAGGAAAAGAACACTGATGCATGAAATGGAAAGGTATGGCCAATTCACTCAGCTGGGAAGATTACTTACTTAAAATTATTTTTTGTTTTAGCCCAAATCTTATGCTATAAACCATGGCACTGCATACTGTGGCAGAGATACTGTGAAAGCTTTACTAGTTCTTTTGGATGAAGAAGCAGCTAGTGCTCCTACCAAAAACAAAGCAGAGCTTTTATATGATGAGGAAAACACAATTCATCATAATGGAACTTCTCTTCTTGTACTTTTTAGGTAAGTAATGTGGAAGTTAAAGGTATATAAATGTTAACTTTGGGCCGGGTGCAGTGGCTCATGCCTGTAATCCCAGCTCTTTGGGAGGCTGAGGCGAGAGGATTGCCTGAGCCCAGGGGTTCGAGACCAGCCTGGGCAACTTGGCAAGACCTCATCTCTACAATAAATCAAGAAAAGTTAGCCATACATGGTAGTGCACGTCTGTAGTTCCAGCTTACATGGAAGGCTGAAGTGGAAGGATTGCCTAAGCCCAGCAAGTTGAGACTGTGGTGGCCGTGAGCATGCTACTGCCACTGTACTCCAGTCTGGATGGCAGAGTGAGATTCTGACCCCCCCACACACACAAAAAAAGTTAACTCTGGAGAATTATAAAAGAAACATATACTTATCTCCTATCATAAGCATATGTTGGAAACAAGAAAATTATGAGAAAGGAAAACAAAAGTTAGTTAAAGGGAGGTTGAACACTTGCGTTTGAAGAGGTTATATGTAAAAAAGGTAATATTTTGTGAGCAGCAGGTGTTTGGTTTCAGTGTTGTTTTTGTTCTTAATTTTTACTTTGAAAATATTTATTTGCTTTGCTGTATGTCAAGAACTTTGCTAAATGTTTTCAGTTGCATCATCTCATCTCTCACAGCAACCTCCCTTTAACTAACTTTTGTTTTTTACATATAAGAGACTTGAGAGATATTAAGGAATTTGCCCAAGTTAGCAAGTAGCAGGGGTGTCTTCCTCAAAGCCTGAGGTCTATACTCTAAGAACTGCATTCTGCCTAAGATAAGAGAAAACATATATGCCAAGTTTACTTTGGAATTGACATTTACTGGTTCTTCCTCAAATTATGAATAAAAATATTTACAGAGTTAGTGCTGGTATTATGTGTAAGATACTGATGCCGTCAGTCTGCTCAGGCTGCCATAACAAAATACTGCAGCCTGGCTGGCTTAAACAACAGAAACTTGCTTTCTGTTTGGGCTAGAAGTTTGAGTTGAGGGTGCCAGTGTGGCCACATTCTGGTGAGGACTTTTCCCTTGGTTGCAGCTTACTGCCTTTTTGCTGTGTGTTCAGATGTCCTTTCCTTACTATGTGTACATGGAGAGAGAGAGCTCTCAATCTCTTTCTTCTTATGAGGCCACCCTTATCAGATTAGGACCCCACCCTTAGGACTTCATTGAATCTTAATTATCTTGTAAAAACCCCAATCTCCAATACAGTTGCACTTGGATTCAAGGCTTCAACATATATATTTTAGGGAAGATACAATAGTCTATAGCAGAGATGCTTCAGTTTAAATAATAATTAGGTCAGTCATGGAGTAGGTTGATGATATTTTAAAAAAGTAAACAGTCACTTTAAGAAATACTACAAATTTTAGAACAACTATTTAAAATTATATTTAGTATATTGTAGAGAATTTTCACAAAATCATCCTACTGTTAGTCCTTTCTTTTTTCTATTTGAGCTATTTTTAGAAATCTGTTTTTAGTCTAAAATCGTTTGTATCCATTCATGATTGCTTTGTATCCTATCTCCTGTGCCTCGGTATCCTTTCTCTTTCCTTATCTTTACAATGGTCTATTAGAATGTTATCATCTAATTCCTTTAAGTCTCGTCTTCTTTACCAGCTCTCCATGAATATATATATTTTTTCTGGGCATAAATAATTATTTTATGTTCTACCTCAAAATACCCAAATATTTTGTTAATAATAAAAATTGTTTATCAGTGATTTACTTATACCCTGTGCTGGAATCCCAGAAAACAGTATAAAGAAAATGAACCTTTCTTTTTTCTCTTCTTACCTTACTGCTTTTTGCAAATTTGCTTTTAAGTAGAATTCATTGATTTCTATTTTCTCTGATTGAATTTTATTGTTTTTTTTAGAGAATGTTATTTTCTTTCTATAGAATATTTTCTCTTTTGAGTTGGGGTCTCTGTCAACCAGGCTAGAGTACAGTTGCATGCTCACAACTTACCTAGTCTCAGGCGATCCTTCTGCCCTAGCCTCTGAGAAGCTGGGATTAAAGGTGTGTGCCACCATGCCTGGCCAGTTTTTAAATTTTTTTTGTAGAAATGAGGTCTCACTTTGTTGTCCAGGCTGGTCTTTAACTCCTAGCCTCAAATGATCCTCCCACCTCGGCCTCCCAAAGTGCTGAGATTGCAGGTGTGAGCCATTGTGCCCAGCTAGATTTTAAAAAAAAAAGCTCTCAAAATGTCAGAGATCATTTTTATTTATTTTTATTTATTTATTTATTTATTTATTGAGTTGGAGTCTCACTCTGTCACCCAGACTGGAGTGCAGTGGCCACTACCGGCCACCACAGCCTCGACCTACTGGGTTCTGGCGATCCTTCTGCCTCAGCCTTCCAAGTAGCTGGAACTACAGGCACGCACTACCACACCTGGCTAATTTTTTGAATTATTGTAGAGATGAGGTCTCGCCAAGTTGACCGGGCGGGTCTTGAACCCGCGGGCTCAGGCAATCCACTCACCTCAGCCTCCCAAAGCACGGGATTACAGGCTGAACCACTGAGCCCGGCTTATTTTTATTTTTTAAATCAGTCCTACTCTGTTGCCCAGGCTGGAATGCAGTAGAATGCTTACGGCTACTGCAGCCTTGACTTACTGGCCTCAAGCCATCCTTCCACCTCAGCCTTCCATGTAGCTGGAATTACAGGTGCGTACCACCACACACAGCTAATTTTTTTTATTTTTATTTTTATAGACAAGGTCTCACCAAGTTGCCTGGGCTTAGTCTCCAACCTCTAGACTCAGGCAATCCTCTCATCTCCACCTCCCAAAGTGCTGGGGTTACAAGCGTGAGCCACCATGCCCAGCCTGAGTCTGTTTTTCTGTACTTAACCATGTATCCAAACACATTTTGTTTATAGTTTGTATTCTCTATTAGTATTTTTCAGTTGTTATTGAGTAGACCGTGGTCAAGTAAATTTTTATTTTTATTTATTTATTTTTTGAGTCAGGGCCTCATACTGTCGTTTGGGCTGGAGTGCAGTGGTGTGATCAGGCTCACTGCAGTCTCAACCTCTTGGGCTCAGATGATACTCCCGCCTCAGCCACCCAAGTAGCTGGGACTACAGATTTATGCCATCACACTCAACTAATTTTTTGATTTTTTTTGTAGAGAAAAGATCTCTCTATGTTGCCTATGCTGGTCTCAAACTCCTGGGTTCAAGCAATCCTCTTGCCTTGGCCTTCCAAAGTGCTGGGATTATAGGTGTGAGCCTTTGTACCTGGCCAGGTTTTTAAATTTTTAATGGTCTACACGAAAATGATACTACTGAAGACATAGAGGTGTATGTATTTTAGTCAATGTAAGGTTGTCACCTATTCTTTCTGATGATAGACTATCCTTTATTATTATGTAATAGTATTCTGAGTCAAGAGGTTTCTGACCTTGGCTCTATTAAGATAAAAGGGCTTAATTTATTAAGATATATAGGTTGGTCTGACTCCCAAACTCCCAGGTCTCCTCCATTGTGTCTTCTCTGAACCTACTATGTCTATGTTTTCTCTTTGAATTTCCCTACTATTTTGAGTTCTAATTATGTAGATATCTTATTTTGTGTCTTACCTAGATTTTAAGATGCCTGCATACAGACAGGGCCAATGAATGAATCAACTTTCTGTTCTTCGCAATATCTTGTACAGTGCTTTACAAATAGAAGAAGCTCATGAAATATCTAGTGGCTGAATTAATTGATTGAGCAAATTATTAATATTTAGGACTCTCGGAATAGGAATACTGACATTTTTATAAAGAACCATTATGTGTTGTTTAAGAATAGCAATGCATCTATCAAAATGCATTGCTAGGCGATTTTGTCACCGTGCAAACATCATAGTGTTCTTACACAAACCTAGGTGGAATAGTCTCTTGTTCCTAGGTTCTAAACCTGAACAGCATGTGGCTGTTTAGTATAAGGAAATAGTAGCACAATGGTAAATATTTGTAGGAATTTTTCAGCTTCATTGTAGTCTTATGGTATCACTGTCATGTGTATGACATCTCACGTTGACTGGCATGTCGTTTTGCAGAGCATGACTGTATTATAAACAAGTAGATTCAGTTGTCCTTTATCACTGCATTTTTGGGTAGAGAATCGAAGGATACTAGTTTAAAAGTTACTTTGATTTGTAAGTGTCTCAGTGTGTTCAGGCTGTTATGATAAAATACCTTAGACTAGGTAATGAGTAAGTAACAGAAATTTTTTCAGTTCTAGAGTCTGGAAGTCTAAGATATAGGCGCCAGCAGACTTGGTGTCTGGTGAGGACCTATTTTTCATAGATGGTGTCTTCTTGCTACATCTTCACATGGCTGGAAAGGCCGAGGAACAGAAAGGGCCGGACAGGTTCCTTCATACCCTTATATAAGGGCACTAATCCCATTCTCCAGTGTAGAGTCCTCATCACTTGATCACCTCCTATAGGCCCCACCTCTTACTACTACAGTTGACCCCTGACTTATGAGGTTAGATTTATGATTTTTTAGCTTTATGATGGTATGAAATCTATCTATACAGTTCAGTAGAAACTGTACCTCAAATTTTGAATTTAGATCTTTTTCTGAGCTGGAAATATCAGTACAATACTCTGTCACAATGCTGGGCAGTGGCAGTTACCTGCAGTTCTCAGACAACCATGTGATCATGAGATTAAATAACCAATACTATACAGTGTACTGTTTTGCCAGATGATTTCACCCAGCTAATATCGGGATGTACTAATCCCAACTAATTCCACGTTTAAGGTAGGCTGGTCTAAGTTATGATGTTTGATAGGTTAAGTGTAATACATGCATTTTTGACTTACAGTATTTTCCACTTATCTGGATACAACCTAATTGCAAGTTGAGGTATATCTGCATTGCTTTCAGGATTAAATTGCAGCATGAATATTGGAGGATAACAAACATTCAGAGACCAGAGCTGTAAGTTTTTGCCGTTTTTTTTTTTTGACATAGATCTCCTACACAAGTGAATAATTCATCAGTGAAACCCCTAAGAGAACGCATCTGTAAGTCACTGCAAGAGAAAGAAATTAAGGTACAGTTTAATATACTGCCATGAAAATGACAAACATTCTTTTATTTTTAGAAGAAATAAATACAATGCTGAGCTTGATATTATAAATATACATGCACATAGCAGAATAGGAATTAAATGGAAAGTGAGTTATGACAGTTGACATACAGAGACTTTCCTTCTATACAATGTTGACTAATCTGTGTCTGGTTTATTTAGTTCACTGTACCTAAAAGAAGTTAGCAATTGCTATTGTGTTTAATAAATCTCTGTTGAATGAATGAAGGGGAAAATAAGGAAGACATGGCTTTTTCATATATACTTTTATACTGTATTCTTTTACACTAAATAGAATGAGTGTCTACTTATGTGCCAGACACTATTTTATAGTTGGAATTTATTAAATAAAATTTTTATATAAAACTTACAATTTTCTTTAAATTATTAAATTATCAAGTAATTACTCATCTTGATATAACAAAAACTGCAATTTGTATGTCCTTTGTTTTTTAATTTGGAAATTTAGTTCAAATTTGCATAGCTGAATTATCACCTGTTAATACCAGTTTCATCTACAAACCCCAACCCCATTTAGTTTATTTATTCGTGTTTCATCTTTTTATTGGTTATTAGTAGTTGTTAGTAACTAATACCTGTGGAATACATCATTCAGATTTATACAGTTTTTTTTTTTTGATTTGGAGTTTCACTCTGTCGCCCAGACTGGAGCGCAGTGGCCGCTCCCGGCCACCACAGCCTCGACCTGCTGGGCTCCGGCAATCCTTCCGCCTCAGCCTTCCAAGTAGCCGGAATTCCAGGCATGCGCTACCACGCCCAGCTGATTTTTTGATTTATTGTAGAGATGAGGTCTCGCTGCCCAGGCGGGCCTCGAATCCGCGGGCTCAGGCAATCCACTCACCTCAGCCTCCCAAAGGCGTGGGATTACAGGCTAAGCCACCGAGCCCGGCTACAGTTTTTATCTGAATAAAATTTGTCAACTATATTATATTAATATAAGTGTTTGTATTCAAGGGAAACGTTTTTTGTTTTTTTTTAAAATTTCTATCCTTTGGATATAGTAGAAACAGAAATGTAACATATATATTCTTTAATTTTTCTGCCATAGATATTGACAATAAATAGTTTGACTTAAAAATAATTGGTATATTTTCGTAGAACTAAGTAAATCAAAATTTTCAGAAGCCTATCTGAACAATAAGAAGGTTTTTTAAAAAAGAAATTGTTAAGGGTCTACTAATTGCTATGAAATGTATAGACACATTTAGAAAGTTTTGGGAAACAGAAGAGACATAATCTAACTCAGTCTTGTTTAACGATATGGAAAACAACTCATTTGAGGTTTTATAACTGCCATGAAATATTATATATCAGTTTGTAAAACCATGGTTAGATACTAATGGAGTTAGAATTACATTGCTTATGTTTCTTTTTTTCTTTTTTTTTTTTTTTGAGTTGGAGTCTCACTCTGTCGTCTAGACTGGAGTGCAGTGGCCGCTCCTGGCCACCGCAGCCTCTACCTGCTGGGCTCTGGCGATCCTTCCGCCTCAGCCTTCCAAGTAGCTGTAACTACAGGCATGTGCTACCGCGCCCAGCTAAGTTTTTGAATTATTGTAGAGATGAGGTCTCGCCAAGTTGGCCAGGCGGGTCTCAAACCCGTGGGCTCAGGCAATCCACTCACCTCAACCTCCCAAAGGCGCGGGATTATGCTTACGTTTCTTAGCAGCGGAGCTGGCCTCATCTGCACAGCTCTGAGACTATATGGCAATACAGAAAGGAAAGAATTGGTGTTTAGTTTTATAGTACACTGCATAAAAGTAAAGTATGAAAATAGTTTAGCTCGGTATACAACTGAATCATAACTAGGTAGAGTACTTGTTGGAATAACAAAAAGTTACTATGGAAGAGTAATTTGGCAGTTTATCATCTTATGCTGTTACCTTTGCTCTTTTGGCATACAATTTTTTTTTTAAGTCATGGAAGAAATATCTGGTCTGTGCTGGAAATACTCTCTTGGAATGAGCATTTCAAAGGGAGAAAATATTAGATAACTTAGAATTTTGATGTACTTGATTATGAAATATTCATGTCATTGTTATACAGAGCAAATGAACTCTTCTTAGATTTTAGTTTTCTTATCTATAAATAGGAATAGATGCTCTTTTGATCATAAAATCCTATGAAACCACTTTGGCAACTGTTCATTAATATACTCATTTTAGGTTCCCAACTTTTATTTCCCACTGTAGCATATCAGGAAACTTGTTTATGATGGTCAAATAAATTTTCTTGCCAAGGAAACCCGAAGGTTCTTCCCAAACTTTCATTTTATTAAAAATTTTTTTTATTTTGAAGATGTGAGGTACAATTCAGGGTTAGGTATACAAATGATCATTATACAGGTACCCTTGAACTTTCATGGTTTTGATGGGAGCCTCTAGAGAATGTTTTCTCCCAGTTTTTTACCTCCAGTTTCTAAACACTTTAAATAAGTCATAAGTACCCCTATACCTTTTTATTAAATGATTTTTCAGGGAGATACCTCCTTAAACCCTGTATATTAACCAGTGTTAGTCTTTCCAGCTTGGGCTTAACAGTATTTTGCACATTAGACACAACTGAAAAATCATATATACAGATCTTTTTCTGTATCTACTGTTTTTTCACCATGTATATGTATGTCATAATAATCATCATCTATTCACGTAATTACTAAAGTAAGCTGATCAGAAAGATACAAGATCTTTAAAATATGGAGCAGTTGGGACAGTGAAAATTAGAACTTCATATGAAAAACTAGACTCGCTAGAAGTTGGTTACTTTCATAAGCAGCCAGGCAGTCCAAAGTTCATGGTATTAGAACATTCTTAGTTATATAACCAAATTTAATCCACAGGATGTTTGCAAATGGAGTAAAGCTAAGTTAAATTGGTAAATTGAGTTTAGCTCATAGACTTTTCTTCCCTGGATACTTAAAATTGGTACAAAATAATAAAAAATAAACAAAAACAATCACCAGGACCAAACAGCAAAGAATAATATAATCAGATGCAATGAATTTAAAAAATGATAGCCAAGGAAAGATGCTGAAGATTTCAGAGTGAAGAGGCATCGCATTACTTAGCAGTTGAATCTAGCCATAGTCCCCAGATACAGCAATAGTGAGTTAACAAAATTCTGAGGATTGCCACTGATATTTTCAAAATGGAGGAGCCAACTAAAGTGTGTGGCCGTATTTTTTCTTTTGTCAGAGAAACAGTAGAAGTGACAAGTAGATATTAATGTCGACAGAATGAGGAAAGTGACCCCTGGGACTTACACACTGAGGAAAGTGAAGGCTCTAGTGCTGCGTACTGAATTGGGGCAAGTATCCAAGCGTTTCCTCTCACTTACATGGAATGCGATCCCTACCTAGATGAAGTGAACCTTCTGATAGTAATATACTCTCAGAGGAGAATGCAGAACCCAGGAATGGTTTTAGACTACCTGTCTCTACCATTCTTCAGGCTACAGAAAAATGAGGGATAACAGAAAATCTGCAGCCGTCAAAATGGAATTCTGAGGAGAAAATGAAATACTCTCAGATAAGGAGGGAACAGAATCAAGGAGTCACTTGCAGACTTCTGTTCCTTATGAAGATACAGTAGGTCATGACAGGATGCCATTTCTTCCGCAATAACAAAAACAATAAGAGGCAGCTAGGTTGGGAAAATATATTTTAAAGACATAAGAGCTGTGTAAGCAAAATCCGGAGAAGTCAAGGTTCTTCTGAGGTAAGTGGTCTATTATCAGCTGTTTTTTCCCTGGGGTTTGTTGCCCATGAGAAGGAACTCTACTGAGGGAGTGAGAAACCGACAAAGTGTTTGGATGTCTTAGGGGGCTGGCAACAATTTGGAAACTTCAGGAGTCCTAAACGCAGTTGTTTTCACCTGGGACACTTATTGTGAATTTTGTAGTTGTCTGAGAGGTAGGAGCCTAAATACAGTAAGGTCACCTGTGGTCGTGAGGCATTTAGACAGCAAAGTTCCACTTGAGGAGTGAGGCCTGCCTCAAACACGAGTGGTCTCCTTTTTCAAGATTTTCTACATTTGGAAATGAAGTAGAGTGGAAGGCCAAAGAGCATAGCGTGGAAACCTCTGAAAACCAGATGGAATCCCCTAGACTTCCAGACCAGTGGTGCTAGAGATCCCCCACAAGGCTCTAGGTGAAGCCTAGGAGGGACAGCCCCAAGGAAGAGGTAAGAACCAGAAGTCAAGTGTGAGTTATGAAGACGGCAGCCCAGTTCTGACCCAGCTCAGTCCTTGACTGTGTTGCATTTCTCAGTCCTTCCTAAGGACTTGTCAGCTAACAGAGAAAAGGAAAGCCCTTCTTGTTGGAAGATATCATCTGGAGCCTCTATAGTTCCTTTATATGCAATATTCATCATGAAATAAAATACATTGGACATGAGAGGAGGCAGGAAGATTTGTTAAGAGAAAACATTTAACAATAGAAGGAGACTCACAAAGAGCACATACTGGAATTAGCTGACAAGGAATCAAAAAGAAATTAACATAAAATGAGAAAAATGGTGAGTGTGAAAATTTCTGCAGAGTATTAAAATCTATAAAACAGACCCAATATAGACATTCCAGAACTGTAAAAGCATTGTCTAAAATTAAGAACTTATTAGATGGATTTAATAGCAGACCAGAGACAACATTAGATAGGACTTGAAGACAGATAATTTTTAAAAACTCCAAACTGGAGTAAAGACAGAAAAAAGAATAAAAAAGGAAAAAAGAAGAGCAGGACACAGAGAAAAAGTCTAACATATGCCTAATTGGAGTCCCAGAATAAGAGGATAAAATAAGGTAGAAATAGTATTAACGATATATTGATCATTTTTTCTTTTTTTTTTTTTTTTTGAGTTGGAGTCTCACTCTGTCGCCCAGACTGGAGTGCAGTGGCCGCTCCCGGCCACCGCAGCCTCACCTGCTGGGCTCCGGCGATCCTTCCACCTC